AAGAGGATGAAATGCTTTCAAACACATTTATGAGGACAGCATTACCCTCACACCAAAACCAAACAAGGACACCACAAGAAAGGAAAAATAAGGCCATGTCCCTGATGAACACAGGTGCAAAAGTCCTCAACAAAAAATTAGCAAACTGCCCTGGCTGGTGTAGCTCAGTGGATTGAGCGCGGGCCTATGAACCAAACGATCACAGTTCGATTCCCAGTCAGGGCACATGCCTGGGTTGCAGGCCCCAGTTCCCAGGAGGGGACGCACGAGGGGCAACCATACATTGATGTTTCATTCCCTTTCTCCTTCCCTTCCCCTGTAAAGATAAATGAATAAAATTCTTTAAAAAAATTAGCAAACCTAATTCAACAATATATTTAAGGGATCATTTACCACAATCAATTGATATTTATTCCACGGATTCAAGAATGATTCAACATCCACGAATCAACTGTGATACACTACACTAACAAAAGTAAGTATTAAAATCATATGATCATCTCAAAAGACACAGAAAAACCATTTGACAAAATTCAGCACCATTTTATAATTAAAACTCTCAACTACGTGGGTATAGAAGGAACATACTTTAACACGGACAAATAAGACAAGCCATCTGCTGACATCACACTCAATGGTGAAAAGCTGGCAGCTTTTCCTCTAAGGTCAGGAACACAATCAGGATGCCCACTCTGCCACTGTAATTCAACATAGTGTTGAAAGTCCTAGCCACAGCAATAAGGCAATAAAGAGAAATAAAAAGCATCCAAATTTAAAAGAAGAAATAAAACTGTTCCTATTTGTAGATGACATAATTTTATACACAGAAAACTCTAATGACTCCACCAAAAAACTGTCAATTCAGTTAAGTTGCAGAATACAAAATCAGTATACAAAAATCTGTGGCATTTCTATACACTAACAACAAACTATTAGAAACATAAATTAAGAAAAAAACTCCAATTATAACTGCATCAAAAAGAATAAAGTATCTAAGAATAAATTTAGCCAACAAAGTAAAAGACCTGTGCACTAAAAACTTACAAGACACTGCTGAAAGAAATTGAAGACAACGCAAACAAATGGAAAGATATTCCAAGCTCACACACTGAAAGAATTAATATTGCTAAAATGTCCATACCACCCAAAGCAATCTACAGATTCAATGCAATCCCTAGCAAAATTCCAATGGTATTTCTTACAGAAATAGAAAAAACAATCCTAAAATTTGTATAACCACAGAAGACCTCAAATAATCAAAGCAAACTGAGAAAGAACAATATTAGAAGCATCATGCTCCCTGAGTTCAACCTATATTAAAAAGCTATAGCAATAAAAACAGTATGGTACTGGCATAAAAATAGAGGCAAATTAACAGAACAGAACACAGAATGCAGAAATAAACCCATGCATATATAGTCAATTAATCTACGAGAGAGGAGGCAAGAATACACATGGGGAAAAAGTGTCTTCAATAAGCACTGTGGGGAAAACTGGATAACCATATGCAGAAGAATGAAACTGGACCACTATCTTGAATCACACAAAAAAATTAAATCAAAATGGATTGAAGACTTGAATGTAAGACTGGAAGCAATAAAATCCTATAAGGAAACATAGGTGATAGGTTCCCTGAGTTCAGTCTTGGCAATGATTTTTTGGATCTGACTTCAAAAGCAAAGGAAACAGAAGCAAAAATAAACAGGACTACATCATACTAAAAAGTTTCTGAACAGCAAAGAAAATCATCAACAAAATAATAAAGCAATCTACTTTTTTCAGAGAGAATGGGAGAAAATATTTGCAAATTATATTAAAAAATATATTAAAAACTCATACTACTTAATAGAAAACAAAAACAAAAACAAAAGAAACCGATTGATTAAAAAATAGGCAGAGGACCTGAATAGACATTTTTCCAAAGAACACACAGATGGTCAATGGGCACATGAAAAAATACTCAGCATTACTAACCAATTCAAAACCACAATGAGGTATCACCTCAAACATTATAATGCCTATCATCAAAAAGCACAAGAAATAAGAAGTGTTGGCAAGGAAGTGGACTATTCGTGGGAATTTAAATTGGTGCAGCCCCTATGGGAAACAGTATGGAGGGTCCTTAAACAATTAAAAAAAGAACTATTACATGATCCAATTCCATTTCTGGATATATATATGAAGAAAATGAAACCACTCATTAAAAAAGATATTATGTACTCCCATGTTTGTGGCAGCATTATTTACAACAGCCAAAATATGGAAACAACCTGAGTGTCCATCAGTGGATGAATGGATAAAGAAGATGTGGTCTACAGATATAATAGAATACTACTCAACCATAAAAAATTAATCTTATTATTTGGGTTTTGAGGGCATTATGCAAAGTAAAATAAGAAAGACAGAGAAAGACAAATACTGTATGATTTCACTTATATGTGGGACCTAAAACAACAACAACAACAAAACCACCAACAAATCAAAGAAAAACAAAAACCAAAACACCAAACTTCTAGATTGAAGAGCAGATTATTGGTTGCCAGAGGGGAAGAAAGGGTATGTGGGGGTGGTGGTGGGAGATGTGGGTAAAGGAGGTCAAAAGGTACAAACTTTCCATTATAAAATACATAAGTCCTGGGAATGTAATATACAGTATGGTGACTATGGTTAAGAAGACTATATATAATGGATATCTGAAAATTTCTGAATATTTGAAAGTTTCTAAGAGATCTTAAAAAGTTTTATCACATACAAAAATTTGTAACTATGTATGATAAGAGACAGTAATTAGGTTTATTGTGGTGCTAATTTTGTAATGTACACAAATATCAAATCATTACATGGTATACATGAAATTAATATAGTATCTTATGTCAATTATACCTCAATTTAAAAAAGTCTTGTATTGCCCAAATTTGGGACAATTGAGCATCAAAAATGGAACCCCCTCAAACTGGAATGAACTAATGACACATTGAATTTCTATAGTGATACATACACATAAAAATGGAGTGGGAAAAGGGACAGTCATTTTGTACAAAAGAGTGCTATTAATCATTTAGAAGAGATGGCTGAATTAGAAAATCACATTTTGTAACCAGCTATGTAATAAAGCAAAGATCATCAGTGGATAAGAACCTTAAATAAAAGGTTATCAGGGAACAGTCATGTGGTGGCTAAGTATCAACCCACAGGTTTCCTAATTAGAAAGAAAAAAAGCACCTTTAACTTAGCACCTAAGTTAAGCACCTAAAATGGAGAGATCCAGTACATGGCACAAACTTAGTATCACCAAATGAGACAAATGACATTACGTGTCTTCTGAGGAAATGCAATGGAATGTACATTCTTATAAAGTACTCTTGGCAAAACTGTTTTTTTAAGATTTTATTTATTTATTTTTAGTGAAAAGGGAAGGGAGGGAGAAAGAGAGGGAGAAATATCATTGTGTGGTTGCCTCTTGCATGTCCACTACTGGGGGCCTGGCCCGCAACCCAGGCATGTGCCCTGACTGGAAATGGAACCAGTGACCCTTTGGTTTGCAGGCCAGCGCTCAAACCACTGAACTACAATAGCAGGGGCCACTTGGCAAAAATGTTTTATCTGAATCTAACCATGAAGAAACGATTAGGTAAATGTGGATCATTTTTAAATAAACCTGGCCTGGATAGTTTAAAAAAATGTCAATATCACGAAAGATTAAAGAAAAAAAAAGAAAAGGCTGTAGAAGAGTTCTGGATTAAAAAGGACCAAGATGAAGGATAACCAGGTGGAGCATGTGATTCCTGACTAGATCCTGGATTGGGAGAAAAACATCTAAAAAGGGTATCTGGGGACAGTTGGAGAAATCTAAGTATTTGACTATACATTAGTAGCATTATTATAAAAGTGTTAAATATTTGGAGAATGGTATTGTACTTATGTTAGGGGAATGTTCATGTCCTTAGAAGATATATAAAAAAATATTTAGGGGTGAGATATCATGATGCCTGCAACTAATTTTCAAATGGTTTAGTGCAAAAACAAAGTATGTGTGTATACATGTAAAGAGATAAGGCAAAAGTGGCTGAATGAGGATAAATGGTGATTCCAGGTAAAAAAACATATAGGTGTTCAATGTACTGTTTTTGTCAACTTTTCTGCAGACTTGAAATCTTTCAAAGTAAAGTTGTTGTGAAGGAAGAGAGGAATGGGAACCACCAAAAAGTCCTTCACCAGGGAATAGGTTCAATAAAACATGAGACACACAATAAAATCTGATGCAGATGTTTAAGCTCTACATACTCATTTGGAACACTTACCAAGATATACTTCTAAGTAATGAAAGCAAAGTACAAAACTGTGTTCACAGTGTGCTACACGTAGACAAATATTTTCACATTGACTTTCTATGCAAACCAAACAAATACCTGTAGGAATAAACTAGAAACAAGTAACAGTGATTGTGTGTTGGGGAGATGTAGGAACTGGGTGAATGTGGTACACACATGAAAGACTTGTCTGGCTTTATACAAAATTTAAAAAGATATTTTATATATGAAAATTTTTGTCTTGTGAATAAATTGTCTTTTTTAAATAATTAGAAAATAAAAAAGAAAGAAATGGAAGTGGAGTTAGGGAGGTGGTGGAAGGGGGCTATGGGGTTTTGTCAGTAAATAAAAGAAACTCAAAAAGGTTTGAAATTTCAGATTTTAGATGACATTAATGCATGCTTGGATAGAACAGTGGTACAATCAAAGCCTCAGTGTGTTAAGGTGTGGGACTCAGGGGTCATGGAAAAAGATACAATCAGATATAGGGAAAAGGTATAAAAATAGTATCTGGGAAATCTTTTCCTGAAGATGGCCTCTGTGAGGAAGTGATGCCAAATATCTCAGTGTTCCTGACAGACTGGGATGTCTTTCTGGAAAATGACTTGGCCCTGTTTAAAAACATATCTACCTCACTTAGGGTAATACAGGCTGAGTGCAAAGCCTCTCATCTGCCAGTTCTTCTCTCACCTGGACTAGGGCCTTCTAAGATTTCTTTTATCACCATCCATGGTTCTTCCAATATGGGAATCACAGTTGGTCTGTACACTGTCAGTCCTGTTCAGAAGGAATATAATGAGTTTTATCCTAAATATAAACATTTGTTCAAATTTTATTACTTAGCTTCTTATCCATTTGGATAGACCTTTACAGGAAAATAAGAGTTCATGGCTGTGATGGAATAAATTATGTCCATGCCCTTTTCAGAGCTAGGACAGAAATTTCCTGGCACCCTGGAGGATCTCCGCACAGAGAACATATGTGAAGGAAACTGCAGGGGCAGTGTAGAATGAGCAAGGTACAGCATTGGTGGCAGCCCTGTGAAACTGCATATCAGTTTTCAACGATCTTCCATTTAGAAATCTTTCACTTGGGAAAAAGGAAATAGAACACAGCCACTTCTGTGCCCAAGTGGGATAAGCACCGCTGACCTCTTGGCCCCATTTTTGGCAAAGTACTCCACAGACCCAACCCATCTTTAACAACAGAAGGAGAAAAAAAAAAAAAGATACTCTGGTGGATATCCTGGGAGGCGTGGGTGTAGATGATGCTTACCTAGAGAAACCATGTTCCAATAGTTCTGTAATGTCACCGTCTTGTACAATTCTTTCTGTACAGGACGCATTAGCTCCCAGTCTTCCTGGGTAATATCCACAGCCACATCTCTGAACGACATTGATTCCTAAAACAGCAAATATAGCTTAACTTGGTTCAAGAACTAGTAGGAAGGGGAGGTGTTTGTGTGGTGGGGAGAATCATAGAAGCTTGAGCTTTAGTGGGATCCTAAAGGTGTCTAGTCCAAACTTTTACCCAGTGTATAGATGAGTGTATAGACCTGAACAGTCTTAAAAGAATAACTGAATATAAAGAAGAGTTTATTGTTTTCTGCTGCCACTAGTGCATTGATGGTTCTATCTTAAAGAAAAAAGGGTTTTAAACATAGATGACACAGAATTGAATGGTTTTGCCACACAAGGGGAACGGGGCAGGGAAGAGCAACGGGGTCAGATTGGGACAACTTTAATAGAACAACAACAAAATTAATTAAAAAACAAAAATAGAGATCCACTGTTATCTGCAACAACAACAACAACAAAAGAATGAATTTGCTGTGTTCTAAATTAAAATTTTAAGCTATTTTGTGTGCTTCGTAATTAAGGGCAAAGGCCTTCCTCTTTTCCATCACTGTTGAACTGCTGTACTTTTTAGGTATATTTTGCATACCTCTTTGTTCTTCTTCCTTTTGTTAAAAACATTTCTTGATCACATTTACATGGTTTTCAAGTAAACTTTAAGTTTCTTTAAAAAATTGTATCAGGACTTTGAAATCACATTAAGTTTAAAAGTTAGGGGCAACTGACAGTTTTACAATATTCAAGACTTCTTTCATATCCAATAGAATTATACAAAACATGAAGTTACTACAAAATTTATACTATGTTTAGTCCTAGCTGTTTTAAATTTGAGGGGGGTAATACTGTGAATGAATCTTTAATTTCATTTTATCATCTATCTGGTTTTTATAGAGTTAAAGTGATTAACTTTTGTATGCCATTTTCTATAGAAGTGACTTCAAATTTTTATTATTGTTTCTAACAGTTTTTCCTTTATTTTCTTAGTTTTCTCAGGTAAAATATTCATATTACCTATAAATAATTTTACACTGGTTACCAATTTCAGACCATGTATATTTTTAAGTAAACCTTTCTCTTATGGTGGCCTGAGCTGCTCTCCCTTAAAATGACACAGACTCGTGATCAAAAGTAACACTATATGTAATACATGACCTTTGATTACTTGTTAATGAGGAAAAATGACATTAGCAACTATTTTTTATCCCATCGTGATCTTACTAATCACTTACTGTAATTGAGGGTAACAAGTCTCTTAAAAGTTAATCCTCATAATCTAAGAAGAATATTCTGTTTATTAGAGTCAAATAACCTAGGCTGAGTGGTTAAGTGTCTTGCCCCAAATTATAGATTCAATGGCAGAACTAGGAACCAAACCTATACCCATTTGGCTGTGCAGGTCAATCCCTTAACCTCAAATGAATATTGCTGTGTTAAGATCAGAACGTGAGAGAAAGCAATGCCATTTCCTATACAGCGCATTCATCTACCCTAAAAGGCCAAGGTGACTTAAGGAGAAAAACCGAGGGTTAGGTCTTTCCTGGAACTTTTGGGGTCAATGAATTTAGAAGACCAGGAAAGAAAGTATCACCACACATTATGAAGGCATTTTAAGATCACAGAAGACACGAAAACTCACTTTGGTCACCAGATCGTTTAGCCACCCTGCCTGGAAAGCATGTCTTCCTTTGGGGTCTTCCTCTCGGGTCTCTTGGGAAAGGGCAGAGTTCTGAGGAACAGCTAGGTAGAGAAAAGAAAGAGACCGTGATGGAGATCAGTCCTGTTTAAATTGCCTAGGGAACTTATCACCAAATAGATGCCTACACTTGCTTAACATGAGAAGTCAGAAGAAAACCAAACACAGCACCTCTACTTCAAAAAATGATCGGAGCCCTAATGGGTGTGGCTCAGCTGGCTGGCGTCATCCTGAAGGGTGAAAGGTTGCTGGTTTGATTCCCAATCAGGGCACATGACTGGGTTGCAGGTTTGGTCAAGGCATGTGTGAGAGGCAACTAATCAATGTTTCTCTCTCACATTAATGTTTCTCTCCTTCTTTCTCCCTCCTTTCCCCTCTCTCTTAAAAAAAAAATCAGTGGAAAGAGGCAATAACTAGTCCTAAGACATCAGTGGAGGCTTCAAAAATAAGTCTGCTCTGAGACTCTTAAGTATATGTATCAAATTCATAATTTTCTACTAATCCCTCATGTGATACAAATTTTGAGTTGTGTATTCACTAAATAATGCTCTCTGGACCCTTTTCTACCTATTTGGAAGTATGTTACTATAGACTCCAATTCACAAAGCAAATGATTTGTTGGCAGAATGGTTCAAACCTCCCTTCAATACCTGAGGGCTCACCAGGGGGTAATTTAGTTGTGTTTGGTCATTGTTTTATGACACTTCTCCTCTGGATTTAGATAATGTGTATTTGGTTCCAAGAAATCTGAAGGGGAATACCACACAGGATGGGGCTCATGTTAAAGCCTGTTCACATTCACTCACTGCCCTTCCTTTTCCTTACTGCTCTAATAGACTGCTCTCAGATATGTTTGTCATCTTCTCTAAACACCCAGGATTCCTCCCCTCTCTGCTCTATAATTCTCACCTTCATTTTCTAGAATCTGAGTTAAATCCTCCACCAGAGTCACCACTTCCTCGCTGCTCCCTGGGTACTGAGACTTCACCCAGGTCCTAACCTCCCCAGGTAGGATCGTCAGGAATTGCTCCAGCACCAGCAGTTCCAGGATTTGTTCCTTTGAGTGAATCTCAGGCCTCAGCCACTTAAGGCAGAGCTCTCGTAATTGATTCAATGCTTTTCGAGGACCAGCCAGGTCTGGGTATGGAAAATTCCTAAAATTCTGTCGACAAGTCTCACTGTCACGCAAGAGTCTTGAAGCAAGGGTTTCCTTTCCAACACTGTGGGGTCCACTCTGAGCCTTGTCTGGCTTCCACATTAGAAAGATTTGGGAGCGTGAAGAACTGGTCACCCTCTTACTTGAGGCTGACATTGCAGCAGAGTCAATCTGGCAATATCCTTTATTTCTCTAGTAGTGAGCCAACTGCTTGAGTCCCATCTTACAGCCACAAAGACAAGGGTACAAGAGACTCAAGGTAGAGTCATCAGCCTTAGTTTCAAATTCTTGAACTTGTAGGGATGGTTAGGAAACCCTGAAACACAAGAACAGACCACAAAGTCAAGAATTCCTAGTGCTGTATGCTACACACACACACACACACACTAGCCAGTACGCAAAAACACATATGGAGGGGTGTCAAACTAATTTTCACTGGGGGTCACATCAGCCACGAGGTTGCCTTCAAAGGGCTGAATGTGATTTTAACTCCTTAACAGTTAAGGAGTAGTACATTTAGACAGTCCTAAAATTACATTCGGCTCTTTGAAGGCAACCACGAGGCTGATGTGATCCCTGGTGAAAACGAGTTTGACATTCCCAAAATACAGAATTTACCTTGGTCTTCTTGCATCATATCTTTAAATGTATGAAACAGCTAACCATTTACCTGCTTTGCACATTAGTGTCACCAAATCCTAGCTTTTCACTATCTGAGGGCGGAGGAGACAAGCAGGCAGGTCTGGAAAGAAGTAGAAAACGCTGGTATGATTTGAAGTCCTTTATGTGATTTTAACAAAGACAATTCCTTATGAATAAATTTGAAGCCAGGATTCCTGAAGAAAACCTCAAACTGGCCTGACCTGGGGAAGAACCCGTAACACCTGTCCACGGGCTCCAGCTCTGAGCCCTCCTCAATCAGTATTGTCACCAAGGTAAACAGTTTACAAGGTCCTGCACAGCAGGTGCGCAGGCTTCGCCCCGCCCCCTGTCGCCTCCCTTTTTCAGAGGGTCTCCCTAACTCCTCTTCACCCGGAGAGTCGAGGTCAGCCGGAGTCTGAGCAAGGCAACGCGCTGTACTGGGGCTGGACACCCCACAGCAGCCTTCACACTGCGTTCACCTCCCCGCAGGCCGCGAGCACGGGCCCCCGTGCTTGAATCGGCTACGGCTCGTGCCCTGATCGCGAGGACAATCGGCTCCGGCGCCGTGACACCATTACCTGCTGCGGGGACCCGGCGGACGCACAGCCAGAGCGGCCGGGAGGCCCCAGGCAACAATGGCGGCGGGGGCGCGATCGCCGGCGCCTGCGTGGCGGGCTCACTCCCGCGCTGCAGAGGGGCCTCTAGCTCCGCCACTGCCCTTCCCCGGAAAGCACAAGGTAGGTCAGCCAGAAACAGCGCGTTCCAGTCCAGTCCTGAGAAGCCCTGCCCGGAACCTAAGAACCTCGGCTTCGCCTAGACCTCTCTTCGCCGCCAGTGCGCATGTGCGGGAGGCGAAAGCTACGCGTATGCTGAGCCAATCAGAAGCTGCGCTCCCGGCCTCCTTTGCATCTCCCTTTCGACTTGTCGCCATGGCAACCTCCTCCGCCCTATCACCCTGACTTGCTTGTTCGCCTCAAGGCTGTGAATGAACCTTAAAGTGTTCCTGGCCAGAGTCAGGTCTGGTAGAGGACTTGGAGGCCGAGGTGCTGCCCGGATTTTGCAGCGGACGGAGGGAGGATGCGGTTGTGGAGGGTTAGTGCCCCGCGCTAATTAATGATAAACTTGGTGCCAGAGTTCCCAGAGAAAGGATGGGCAGAGAGGATGCAGGTCTAAAGGCAAAAAGACCTGAAATTCTGGTGCGGGCTTTACTGTAAATAATCATTCACTGTTAAAGGTTCTAACTTCCTCCTCAGGAGATTGATTCTGAGACTCTCAGATTAGAAACAAGAACAACATCCAAAAGCACGTTGTTTGTAAGAGACTCGAAACAAAATGTTTGATAATAAAAACATAAAAATGCTAGAAAAACATATGCTAGGTGTTCCTGTTGCCTACTGATGTTTTGGCAAACCACCCCCAAACTTAATGGTTTTTAAGAAAAACCATTTAGCCCTGACAGGTCCTGCAAACGGAAAGGTCGCCGGTTTTATTTCAGGTCAGGGCACAAGCCTGGGTTGCCGGCCAGGCCCTGCCTGCTGGGGGCGTGCAAGAGGCAACAGATCAATGTTTCTCTCCCTCCCTTCTCTCTCTCTAAAAACAAGCAAATAAATAAATAATCTAAAAAAACCCCTATTTATTATGCTCACTTGTTCACCCACATGTCTTGTGCATGGGCCGACAGGGCCTAAGGATGAGCTAAGCTTGGATTTTACCAGAATGCTCACATATGGCCTTTTCTGCATGGAGTACTAGGGTGGTTGTACTTTTTAGCTAGTGGCACCAGGCTTTAAGAGTTGTGTTCTAGGGGACATGGCTGATTATGATATAGCCGTGGAAGTCTCCTGGCATCACTTCCATCAAACTCTTGGTCAACCAGTCAGAAGTCTGTGCAGAATCAAGCAGAGGCAGATGGAGACCCCATCTCTTGATGGCAGGAGGGTCAGAGAGTCTTAGCATGACTGCACCAGGCAAATGTATCAACTCAGGTAGGCTACAATCTCCTGCTATTCAAATACTAATCCAGGCTTTGTAAAGGTATTTTTAAAAGATTTTATTTATTTATTTTTAGAGAGAAGAAAAGGGAAAGAGAAAAAGGAGAGAAACATTGATGTGAGAGAGAAACATCTATTGTGGCTGTAGTACGCTCCCTAAACCCATGACCCAGGCATATGCCCTGATCCCACCAGTTGGGAATCCAAATGGTGACCTTTCATTTTGCAGGACAATGTCCAACCAACTGAGCCAAAATGATCAGGACTGTAAAGGTATTTTGTAAATGTGGTTAAAGTCTATAAATTTAGTTGAATTAAGTAAAGGAGATTACTTCAGATAACTTGAGTGGGCCTGATCCAATCAGTTGAAAGGCCTTAAAAGCACAATTGAGGCTTCCTTGATGAAGAAACTGTGGAAAAGCTTCCAGGATGCCCTTTCTGACAGACGGCCCTATGGGCTTTGGACTTGACTAATTTGCCTCCACAATTGAATAAGCCAATTCCTTGCCAAAACCGCCCCCCCCCAACTTTTAGTATCTACTATGTCCTACTGGTTCTGCTTCTCTGGCTGAACCCTGATTGATGCAGGCAAAAGTTTTATATTTTAAAATATTCCAAAAGTTTTATATTATAAAATAGTCCAAATATTTTATAAAGTGGAATAAATTTTAAAAGACTATAAGGGGAAAAATAAGCATGTTACCCACTTATAAAAGGAAAACTTGACAGCAAAGATATACCCATCAAAAATATGAGTATGTCTCTAATAATAGGCCTTAAAGGATATCAGACAATAACTGACAGAACTGCAGGGAGCAAAACATAAAACAACGGAGGTTGGAAACTTAATACACTCTACAGATACAATGTGATGGGCCCATAGTGCTGGTACCCATTCCCCAAGCTGCCAGTATGTTTGCCTGCCAACGGCTCACAACTAGAAACCTCCATGAGAATTGTCCTGGCTGAAGAGAGTTGCCTTGCAACTCTCACCCCCAGGGGCAGTCCACATCCAGTGATGCTCACTACAGGGCTTCAAAGACCTTGTCCCTTTGCCTTAACTTGTAACCTCTCTAAAGGGCCATCCTAGTTTCAGTTCTCTGTAGTCAAGTGAGACCTCTGTCTCAATTGTATAGCATTTTAACATTTCCATCTGCCTAATTTTTCTTATAGGTATCATTCATTTAAAGGTATTTTTCTGGAGAACACTATCCAGTAACACCTCTGCAGACAATCCTCTACCATTTACCCCATGCAGAGAATCTGGTTCCAAAGTAGCTGCCCTATAACAGTCCATTCTAGCAATGGTCCTAGGAAATTTGACTCTAAACAGAGATTTTGGCTCCTGGTCATCTGTTAGCTTGCTGGTAATGAGGACACTCTTATTTGTGATTGGTGGAGTACTGACAGTGCATGTCAGGCTGTAGCACCATAATTATTAAAACTGTCACTGGTGTTGAACTGGGATGGGATACTGATGGAAGGAAATGCACTCATGTATGCTGTATCTCAAGGCTTTGTGAGACTGGGAAGTTAGAAATTTTAAGGACTATGAAATTGAATGGCTATTACTGGGAGTTATTGACAAGGAAAGGCTGAGAGGGTGGTTAACCTCCAATTTGAGGAAGAGTGTGAAAATCAGAGGGCTTCTTGAAGGCTAATGGCAAAATGTAAGAGCAGCATAACTTCAGATAAGGTTGAATTCTCAATCCCAGGAAGTTTACTATGCCAAGGTCAGGACATGTTTGGAAAAGAATAGAACCTTGAGACTCAGGATGGGGACATTTGGATTAACGTAGTCAAACATCTCGAAACACCTACCTCCTTAAATTCCCTGGGCCTGCAAAAGTGGCCCACACCTCCTGGCCTTGTTTGAAGATGATGTAGACAGAGGCCTCTACTTTGCAATAAAACCTATGCCCCTCTCATAATCTACTCTTTCTCTCCCTCCTTGGGTCAAGTCACCATGGAATGCAACAGGGGAAATGCTGGGTTTTATCAGGGAGGAAAAGAAGCCCTGACTGATTGGGTGTTATCTCTGCAAAGTAAAAGCTTGCAAATTCAACTCCCAGTCAGGGCACATGCCTGGGTTGCAGGTTTGGTCCCCAGTCAAGTTGTGTGCAAGAGGCAACTGATTGATGTATCTCTGTCATATTGATGTTTCTCTCCCTTCCCCTTTTCATAAATAAATAAATAAATAAATAAATAAATAAATCCTTAGGAAAATAACTATCCCTTGAAGTTGCTGCAGACCCTAGACAATCTGTATCTGCAGGAACAAGAATACATGGTCTCGATCCTGAGGATGCTGGATCAAGGAGAGCAGGGCATAGAGCTGAGTGCTGGAAAGTTAATTAAGAAGGAGTACACTAATGTGATAAGGGTTTAATTACTCTGGCAAGGATGCCAGGAGATGGTGCTAACATACTGCTAGGGCTTTTGGAGGCTTGAAGAAATAGATGACCCTACACTGAGCAGAAATGCCAGAAATTTCTGGCAAATAGTGAAAGTCGGACTTAAAGGCTTAGGGAAGTGAGCACCCAAGAACAGGCAGAGTATGTAAGTCTGGAAAGCAAATCAGCTATGTTTCACTGGGCGGCTTGGAAAACCTTCTGATGAAGTACACAGTGTGTTGGTGAGAAGTTCAGTGGTGGCTGTCTTCCACAGACTGAGGCTGACAGTAGGGGATTGGTAATAGAACCGTGCTCCCTAAGGGTGGCACTTAACTTTCGGAAACCAGGCAAGCCGGTTGAGCATGATGAGCAGTAAGATCAAAGTGGAAATGGATGGTAGGAGAGTAGAGGGAGTATGTTATCTTCAGAGAGCTTTGGAGACAATTAATAGAACAAGACGTCTGTATAGACAACATGTGGGAAGACAGCTTGGGTGGTGCGCAATCTATACAGTGAAGTGAAATAAAAGATGGATGATCAAGAGGTTGTGGTTAATAAAGTGTCACAATCTTTTGCTCAATTTACAAACCTTAGTCAGCTTTCAGACCCATAACCTGTTGAATGAAGAAGAAGCCACATTGGTGGAGAGAAGGCCCCTGCAACACTGCATTGAGCCCATGTGGCAATGATTTCCCAGTCCTCCCCTCAAAGGAACCTATGGCTACACTGGGAGAGTGGGATACCCACAAGTTTCAAGGCTGTGGGTACCTGAAGCCTATTTAAGTACCTGAAACATCATGATGACCTCTGTGTTAGAATGGAGGAATATGGGAGCTAGGTAATAAGTAGAATTATGTTTCATGGCATGTCAACAGTGCTCACTGTCTCATTTGGTAGTTTCCCAAGACCTTGAATATACTATTGGAATAAGCATACTTGTAGTTGGCAGGTCAAATTGCTTCCTCAGCCTGTAAGATAAGAGCCATCAAAATGTGGAAGGCCAAGTGGAATGCTCTGAAAGTACCTCCATACCCCATCCCTGGTTAAGATGCAAGTAAAAACAAAATAAAACAAAACAAAACAGCATCAATCCCAGAGGGAATGGTAGAGAATCATTCCTCTCTTAATGACCTAAAGAGTGCAGGGTGGTGGTCCTCAGCATAGCAACATTGATTCAACAGTCAAGCACCTCCAAAATACATGAATCTTGAAGGATGACAGTGGATTGCTATAAAAATCATAAAAGTCATTCCAATTGCTTTGCTAGAGCAGATTTAGACAGTATAAACATAGTATTCAGCCATTGATTTAGCAAATATGTTCATCTCCCTGATAAGTAAGAAGTGCCAGGCATGTTGGAGGTCTTGGTAAAACTTGGTTAAAACTACAGATGATGGAGATAAATCCTACAGAGTTTCAGGGGTTGCCACAGCAGTAAAATTTTAGGGGTCCAGTGGTATGATGCATGTCTGGA